TTACATACATATGTGTATATGTATACGTAAACGTTGCCTTCGATGTAAGGTATTTGATGGACACCAGTGATAAGACAAAGGATTCGTATGTTTGTCATCGTAAGACATGTATAAACCAGAGAGATAATGTAAAATTTAAANTACTTATTGTGGTTTGCACAAATCTGTGTACTGAAAAGAAACTAGTTGACAACCATTGTTCATAACGAAATCAGGAATCGAAATTGCAGACGCATTTTATCTCGTTCTTTTGTTCAAGTAAATTTCCCATCAAACTGATTCCAAAACAAGGCTTATGGTGCTTCTAAACTGCAGCTAAACAATTCCGCTTGTTGATAATAAATGTACACTTGCAACGATTCTGACAACTAAATCTGTTAGCTAGAGATGGACTGCTGATAGGTGTTGTTACATGCAAAGTTATGTCAGCGCATTTGTTCCCTTTGGCGAGTTCACATCACGCGTTATTCTGTTCACTCGTAAGGCCCTTCACTGATGGCACGAAGAAAAAATCAAACTAAACTCCCAGAAGGCAAGATGAAAGAAACTGATGGTTTGCTAGCTGTCATGTTCCTGAATACGTAGAACAAGATGTTGCAGACACCCAGCGACAGGTTTTCAACAACCAAACACTCCACTTATTTACATGGAATGGGACAAACCCTTTTGGTAAATAACAAACTGCTCAATGCCATTTTAGCCTACTAGTAATGATCGTTAGCATACTATTAGAATAATTAAATGGAAATAAAACACAGTCGAGTGATGCGTTTGAAGATAATTTCTTTCGTTTTTTTTCAGTAGAATTATAGCTCATATTTTTCCTACCCTCTAATTCGCAGTCAAAATGACTGTGCCCCAGTTGGTCAATTTGGGACATTCATTCAATTTGACTTGTTCCGTCCAGTTGAGTCAGACCAATTCAGCCTACATTACAGTGGACTGGTTTCGACCGGATCATACTTTTGACGGACTGCAACAGTCCATGAGCTTTTCTTCCGATCGAACAGTCTCTCTCAGTCCCCTTCCTCGCCTTGCCAAAAATCAAAATATGCCCAATCAGGACAATACTGCAGCGGTTATTTCTTGGTTCGCCCAATCCTTTGTGCAAATAATTAGTCAACCAAACTTTGGCACAAGCTTGTTCAAACAACTACGCATTGAGAAAGATTTCACGTACCAGAGTGAAGCGGTATTCACCGTTCAGAAAGCGACACTATTCGAGGAAGGGTTCTACGAATGTCGAGCCTATGAACCGGCCAATTACGGTCATGAACGCATACTGGATCGAGCTATCACGGCCGTAATCGGTAAGCCTATTTTTTCCTGGTTAAAACCGTATGCTTTTGCAATGAGCTGGCAGCTTTTACACTTATTCGACCAGATGGAGGAAATTAGAGCAACATTTATTGAAGCAATTGAGAAAATGTGATTTTATATTCAATTACTATTGATAAAAACGAATACAATATACAGACCTTATTACTTGGCAGAAAATGACGATAGAAAGTTATGCATGCTAATTCAAAACATCTGACTTAAGCAGAAATGGAAATTCGAAAAAAATCGGAATAACTCTTTCATTTATCAAGCTTTTCATGACAGGTTATTTTTTCAAGGTGTGCTGTTCATGTACGTTTGATTGAGATTTCTAGGCTTCAGTTTAGTTTATGCTAAAATAAACCTATTAATAGTTTATTCCTCTACTCTTGGACGAAAAGACTTTAGGCGCGATAGGAACGGTCTATTTTGCGTTCATCACAACTTTGGTAGACCTACTTGATATGTATTACCGCTCACGAGCCGGTGATACGTAGGATAGAATCAATGTTCAATCTTGAGGGGACGAATAAGTTGCCAATGGTTTTGAGACTAATAGTTTCTGGAAACGTGTTACTTCATCTAATGAATACACTGATGCGTGGCTCTCGTTCATACAAAAACGGACGAAACGGTCCTGATGAAGAAAACTCACCAACCGAATACGTTGGACAGCAAAAAGCACATCATGAGAGTTATAGTGCTGACATTTCAAATAATCATAGCACTTTACTTACGGTGAGCAGTTTGGTCACTTTTGTTAAAGGACACCAAACAGCTACTCGACTTTCATCAAGATGGCTGGTCCAAGGTGCTTGTTGTGTTTTTCCTAGAACACGATCCGGGTTAGTTCAGATTTACACAAGATGATGTCACGAACCGGAGAATGTATTAAACATGTGAGAAGTTGACCTAACAAACGGAGTGGGACCCTTTGAGTGAAACCACTACACATTCAAAGTGTGGGTCTGCAAAATCATTTAGCACTAAGGTATGGTGTACAGTGATCGTCCTACATTATCGTTTTATTAAAAAATGTAATTTTATTCGTCTTTTTCGTCCGTATTGCATGCCCTCCTTGATGGAGAACACTTTAGCTTAATTCGGGATCAGTGGTATTTTTAATTCAATGGTTGATGAGGCCACATATGAGGCAGAAGGACAAACGCATTTATTTTCATCGAGAGTTTCGGTAAAAATCGCTGCACATTTAAGACTTTTTGGTGAAAATACCAGATTGCACCACGGATAGGTTTCTGTTCTACAACATTTTATTCTTTTATATAAATGTTTAAATGTACAAATGTGTTATATGCGATTTTCTATCAAAACGTTATTGTTTTTGCTCTGGATGTATATGGCCATTTCTCAGTTTCTTGAACGTATATAACCAGATCTGTCTTTTGCGCTAGGCAGGCAACGTTTTTCAAACTTCCATTATTTCAGCTTTCCGTAAAAATTTGATAACAATGCTCAGTTGCAACACTTTCAGCGAAAATCAACGCATGCTATGCAGTTGGTAACCGTAACAACCTACGAAACGATTGCAGTTCGCAACGGATGGGTGAACGGAAATTGCCGGATCTTTTTTATTCAGNTCATCCACCGGAAAAAATGCTGTTCATAATGAATGGCAATATCCGGTTTCATATTGCCATACCGAAACTATACGTCACTCTTCTGCCCTGACAAAACTGAGTAGATCGAATAGTGAATGTTTTAGTTTTATTTTAGATTTGGAGCAATGAGTTCGTTCCGGATAGGTCAAGTATTTTACTCAGCTGGTTCATGATGTTGTTTAATCAATTGGACCATTTTCGAATTGGGGCAAATCGGTACTTGTATTCACAAATCCGCGTTGGCTGGCAGAAAGTGAGATACATGCAAAATGAAGCATGTTAGGCTCCGGTCGAATCCTCTGGAATCAGCGTGATGACACTTTTGTCCGGTTTTGCTTCATCAATCATCATTTATCTGTGAAAACTCTGTTTCTTTGGTGCGAAATGACAAGGGTTTGGTTTCCCTTTCATCGATGTGAGCGAACTGCACGACCGGGGGAATGTAACAGATACACACTGATTTATAGGCGAGCAGGATTACTCGGTTTTCTGTCAGCAAAATAGCCAAACAGCAAGTATCACGTCGACATCAATTTTAGACCTACAATTTTTCCTTGCTCAAGCATGCATTTGAACGGTTTAACTGGTAAGTTTAAGGGTTGGTTGTAGCGCCAGCAAAAACAACACTCCGCACAAACCGCAACAAGTGCGCAGTTTGAAACTAAAATCACCCGCGTCTGAGGTCTACCTGAACCCGTTCGTATATATCAACTGAACGTAGTGGGGCTTTTTTCTCAGATCGTGGCTATTTTACCACAAATGACCTCCCACATTTCTGTGGGAAGATTAGGCTTTCGTAGCAATTGCACAATGCTGGGTCGATTTGAAATATTTCCCTTTCTCAGCCACTTGTCTATCTGTCCCGCCTAATGAACAGGTGCATATAAAGCCAAACGTTTTTACTTCGAACTGCTTGTTAAATTAATGTTTACGCGTACAGCTCATAGGGGGCCGTGGTTTGATACGATACGAAAGGCGTTTTCTCTGTTTGTGTTTGTGCGTACGTTCCCACCTTTGTGCGTTTGTGCGTCGTAACACGATGCCAAATTGCGTCAAGCAGCAGATGATAGCACCAGCGGCAGATGGTTCTGATTTGTAGTATAAAACAAAATACCCCGGTAGAATAGCACTGATAATCCTGTTTGTTTCAAGTTGATTAGGAACAACTTAGTTCAGTGTATAAGCTACTGTCAATTGTTCGGACGACCAGACCACTTCGTGATCTATTCAGCTTTTCAATTGAATGCTGGTTGACCGAATTCAGGCTGAACAAGCAGCTAAACCAAATGTAAAAATAACGTGTATTTCAGATCCGCAGACGCAAATTAGTCGATCAGTAAAAGTCTGCAAATTGAAATGTGATTTTCAGAGAAAGATGAAAATACTGAAAGCTGTTCTATTCATTGTTACATAAAAGCTTTTGATTCTCCATAGCGTTACTTAAACATTTCTCACGTGAAACCTCAATATTTTCAGAGTATTTACTTCATTCAAGACAGTTCTAAATATATGCATGTGGGCCAAATGTCACGTCACAAACATGAAATACGTATACCAAATAGTCGTAATTTAAATCGCAAAAAAGACCCATAGAACCGGTATGCGCGGAAAATAACTCTAGGTTGCACCTTGTGTACAGAAATAAATTTTATCGCCCCATACACAATACAACAGAAGGCAATACCCCGTTTCACAGATTGCCAGTTCTACCTAAGTGCTAGAGAATCAAATGTGTACACTCTGTAACACCGTCAAGGCAAACGGAAGGACTGACGTGTCGGCTAGCACATTCAGACTATCGAAACATATTCAGCTAACCTGAGAAGCCAGGAACTATGGTATCATATATCAAGAAATCCATTTTTGTGTCCTGGACCATCATTCGTGATCCATCGATGTTGAGTGATGAATGAGGCAGGTAATTTTATGTTCGATAATGTTTTATAACAGTGCTCCTGAAATGGTCGGTGATATTTGCGTTCCATTGTGTGTTCATATTTGAGGATGCCCTTTGATTATCCCCATCTCAACCAGCATGAGGTGTGCTCCATCAGTCATGTATAAAACGGCTCCTTGGTTCCGTCAACTAGACAGACTTGTTCCACATTCGGATTGGTAAATTACGTGTGGTTTGATAGAGCCTGACAAGAGTGCCTTAAGGACGGATTGGAGAGCGGTATTCTTATTTACAACAAGGCGGCGTCAGTGGCATTAAAATTGCGTTTCGAAGCTGTCCTCAACCGGCTGTTGTCATTGTCTTTCAAGGTGTATGGAAGAATCTGAACCATTTTCCAGGGGACCTATGTGCTACTCAAATCGATTTCTGACGAATTCGTCTAGGTGACAAGATTTGTGGAAATATCGGTGCTATCCGTTTCAAACATGAGTGAAAAGGAAGAAGAAAAAAAATAAAAAAATAAAGACATTTCGATCCGGAACATGCAAATTACTGTATCTCATAGTAGTTTTGCAAAACGTCAAAAATAATTATCTTTGATCAAATGTCAAAAGAACAGTTGATCATTCTGACATAATGAGTCTTCATCGAAGAATAGATTTGACTGGCTTTCTGCTGTTGAAAAAAATCAGAATTAGGGTAATTATGATGCTATATGCAGATTGACCTGCATGTCCATACGCATCCGTGTGTGTAACCATGCCTGGCTTCGGTTTATTTCAATAAACAAGCGGATTATCAGTGACTGAATTACAAGTAGAAAACGGTACTCACGAAGAAATGTCTTTTCAGTAAATCGCATCAGGCGTTTACATATATAAAGGAATCATGGTACAGATGTCTGATTGGCCGATTAGAGCTCAGTTATTTACGATGACAGAGGCGACTAAACAGAGCAAACTAATATGACAAGGCTAATGATAGTCGCGAGTGAGGGCTGAGAACACGAAGGGCAAATGAAGATTGTGAGCTAAGACGAGAGAGCGGGATGAAGTTCCGTAATGTACGGTAGAAAAAATAGATCAAGCATAGCAAGTGATGTAATCAAAAGGGAACAAAATCAAAATAATTAGTTCTTAAGATTGGGGTTGAAGAAATTAGATGAGGGAAGGGGTGGGAAATGGGTTAATGCTCTGTTTTATGCACAATCAATCCACTGTCCAGGCCGGAGCGAAAACAGTGCCTTGACCAGGTTTTTTGCTTACATAATTCTGGTAGTTAACAGCCACCTTCTTATCCTTTTAGAATATCTCCGGAGTATAGCGTGAATAGTTTTGAATGCATCAAATTTTGGTGCTTCTGACGCCGCCTTGTTGTAAATAAGAATACCGCTCTCCAATCCGTCCTTAAGGCACTCTTGTCAGGCTCTATC